ACAGCCTGAAGCGTTTACCGTTCAAAGTCCCAGATGACACATTGCCGTATTTGCACGACGTGATGTTTAGGACTCTGGTCTCCGCGGAGGAAGCCCGCATCCACCACGTCCCGAAATTTCACTTCGCTGGCCATCTAGTTCAGAGGACATCGGGGAACTGAATAAACATATCAAACACACCAGGGGCCAGTAAAACAAAGTTCGGAGGACATCGGATGACCCTCCAACTCCCATCTACCTCCAGCTCATCCTTCCATCCACCTCCTCCTGCCCCTCCTCCTCCTCCTCCTCCTCCTCCTCCTCCTCATCTTTAGTATCCTCCTCTGCTTCCTCATCCTGCCTCTCCCCTCCCTCATGTCTTTCGTGACCCAAGGATCCGATTTCAGGGGAATCCTACACACTACAGCGTGTGGGTTGATGAGACACTCAACCTATTGTTTCGATCGTGTGCCGAGCGAGCCCATCAAATCAAGTTTGAACCTCGGATCTTCAAGATGTTCCGAACCATAGCGCATTTGGGTTTAGACAAGCGGATTTATGTTCCCCTGGATGAGTGACCCATATTGCCTACTCTATGCCACTCGAGCTGTGCATGCCATCGTGGATGCCGACGATGGCTGAGGATCTCTGCGAGGCTGCAGGGGTGCGGCGGCAAGACGCCACGGTGCCACACTCGCTGGAGGCGCACCGCGTCGTCGAGCTTATTTCGACGCAGGCTCTGCGGGCCCAATATCGCACTCGCTCTCTCATCCTGCCGCCTCTCCCTCTCCATATCGTGTCCTCATCCCTCGTGCTCTCCCATTCAATCTTGCTCTCCATCCTTGTACTCCCACTTTGTAGCTCGAGACACCCCTCCAAGCCCCAGCCCTCGGTTTCGATCTACGGCACTGCCCCAACACAGCGACGGCCCCGCGGGCCGATCGGAGATTTATGTTGCAGGGGTTGTGAGACGGCCCATTCGAGTTCTTTGAAATAATTTGCACCTCAGGTTCTCCCGCGCTGGCCGTGCGAATGCGACCGGCATTTCTCTCTACTATTGCTCTTCGCTGGCGCTGGTGCTGCTGCCGACGCTCTCTATGACCGTGGGCACAACGTTGCAACGTTTGAGATCAGAGATGACACGTCGCAGGACATCACTACCGTGCTCGGGTGCATCTATGCTACATATTGCGTGTGGAATCTGAAGCCCAGGGCAACAATGTGGGCGTCTCCTGAATGCAAAACGTGGTTGTCGTTTCTGACCCGTTTCTCGTTCCAGCGGTGTCTGAACGGATGGGGGGTGTTGGGTAATGATGACCACCCGAGTGTAAAGAATGCCAATTTCGCTTCTGTAATCCTAGCTTGGTTGGTGACACTGTGTTCGATCCGCGGTGTGTACTTTTCGATCGAGCAACCTATCTGCTCTTTGATGTTTCAAGTGCCATGGGTGCGCGATGCAACTATATTTGCAAGAGGGTACCGCATCACAACATCGCTAGCCCAATTCGGCGCACCTGCGGCATCGAAGATGCTAGAGATTTATACGAATGCTCCGCGTGACCTCGTGAATAAACACTTGGTCAGGCGGAACAAACGCAAGCCGAAAGGTCTCAGCACTAAGCAATTGACGCGTTTGACACCGCGAGGATCGAGTGGTGATCGCTCGTGGACTACTGGCAAGCGCGCTGTTCTGTCTGCTTCCCAAGAATACCCAGACTCGTTCGCAGACGCCATCGCAACCGTGACAGAGTTCTGTTTAGAGCAGTAATCACGTTTCGCGAGGCGAAGGGAAGCATCACTTCCTTCATCTCGCGTATCTCACCAAACCCTGATCTCTCTTCCATTGTAACACCCTCTCGCACTCTTGCTCACGCTCTGTTTGCTTACGCCGCACCCTCGCCATCTCTCAGGACCACGAGGTCATTCGTTAATTTGGCAAGTGCCACTTCGCTGTGCCGTGCGATGCACGTTCCCAAGACCAGAATCGATGAGCAGGCCGCCGAGATCAACGCGACGCGACGCCCCTCAACGCCAAACGTTGATCGGCGTCGCGCCGCGTTGAGCATCGGCGCGATGCATTGATACGGGTCGTGGGAGCGCGTTGACGAAATGCAATAACATGATCGGTAATGGATGGGACGAGGGGGGTGGGGACGGGAAGATGAGGCGGATAGAGGTGGAGAAGAGGTGGGTGATGTCTTCGCCAGCCGTCGTGTGCCCAAATTTGCAGGCACGGACACAAGGATGAGCACCGCGCGGCGGGTGCGAACGCATGGCTGACACTAGTGCTACACCCGAGACTCGGAACCCTACGAATATTTCGACGAGTGGGAATCACTAGTATATCACATTCCCCATCCACCTCCGCCCTGTCCACCTCACTCCCTCTCCTGTCCCGCCTCTCCACCTCCCTCTCGCACGATCCTCTCAGTCCCATCTCCCGTCCCTCCCCTCCCATCCATCCCTCCTGCACCTCGCATCCCTCTTCCCCTCCTCTCAGTGTACCTAGCCCGCAGACGGCAGCACACGGGACGAACGGCCTCCGAGAACTCGCGAACACGTGCGTCTGGACCTCCGAAACTGGGATCGGCAAAATCAGCATCACACATTTTCGGACTGAATACCCACCAACCTGTACGAAATCATCCACGTTCGAGGTGTCTGTGTTCCCTGGGATCCTGATTACGGGGTGGCTCTGGGAGTTAGGCTACTACACTTTCCCGCACGCGGAGTTTGACGACTCGCATCTAATTAGGACCCTTGTGAGGTTTGGCCCCAACTGGGGGCGGCACTGGGGTTTGATATGGCCTGCTCTTGCTGATGGCTATTGGTGGGATTGTAATTCCCCGCCGATGTCACCGCCGCCGCAGCTTACTGAGCAGCCTGCTGACGCCGAGCTTTTAGAGATGATCGGCTGATGATGCCGACTTTGAAAAGAGGATTGGTTGAAGAAAGAAGAAAGTTGTAACTCTATCTTCAGCGGGGCTCCGCCATCCGCCTGCCCCGTCCAGAAGAAGCTGGGCCAAGCCAGGACGACGATATGGATGAGAAGGAAGGCGCTCTCGGGGTGCTCCTGGAGCGTCTTGGAGGCCTCTTGAGCAGTCTTGGGGCAATGGGGTGCTCTTGGGGCGTCTTGGGGCGTCTTGGAGCAATCTTGAACGTCGTTGAGCCATCTTGAGCGTCTTGGGGCGATGTCTAGTAGTAGTAGTAGTAGTAGTAGTAGTAGTAGTAGTAGTAGTAGTAGTAGTAGTAGTAGTAGTAGTAGTAGTAGTAGTAGTAGTAGTAGTAGTAGTAGTAGTAGTATAGTAGTACTAGTAGTACTAGTAGTACTGGTAGTACTGGTAGTACTGGTAGTAGTAATAGTAGTAGTAGTAGTAGTAGTAGTAGTAGTAGTAGTAGTAGTAGTAGTAGTAGTAGTAGTAGTAGTAGAAGTAGTAGTCGTCGGCATAACGCCGAAATCTGATCCAAAGCATGAAATCTGATCCAAGGCATAAAATCTGATCCGTACCCTTTGGACCTGCGTTTTCTGATCCAACCCATCAGATCTGATCCAACACACCTGGATCACCACAGCTGATCCTATGGACCCCTGGGCCCGTCCGAGCCCCGCCCGGCGCCGACGGGGGCGGCCGGGGGCTACCTGGCGCGGGGTGCCACGCGCGGTCAGGAAGTGCCGACGTCCCAGGGCGCGACTGGCGACCGCGCGGGGTACTCGCGCCAGGATCCCCCCCAGCCTCTCCCGGCGGCAGCGACCCGGAGAGCCCGGGCCAGGGCGCCGGCGACGAGGCGCAGCAGAGGAGGCCGGGGCGGGGGAGCGCAGGGGCGAGACGGCGGCGCAAGGAGGAGGAGGAGGAGGAGGAGGAGGAGGAGGAGGAGGAGGAGGAGGAGGAGGAGGAGGGAGGAGGAGGAGGAGGAGAGGAGGAGGAGGAGGAGGGGGAGGAGGAGGAGGAGGAGGAGGAGGAGGAGGAGGAGGAGGAGGAGGAGGAGGAGGAGGAGAGGAGGAGGAGGAGGAGGAGGAGGAGGAGGAGGAGGAGGAGGAGAGGAGGAGGAGGAGGAGGAGGAGGAGGAGGAGGAGGAGGAGGAGAGGGGAGGAGGAGGAGGAGGAGGAGGAGGAGGAGGAGGAGGAGGAGGGGAGGAGGAGGAGGGAGGAGGAGGAGGAGGGGAGTGAGTGATTTTTTTTTTTTTTTTTTTTTTTTTTCTTTTTGACCCTGGAAGGTCAGGGGCGAAGGGGGCCGGCCTCCTCAGCAGGCTCGGCGGAAGGCCTTCTGCCTCGCAAGCAGCGCCCTCGCGGCCCCCTCGACGCAGCAGGGGGGGGGCTCCTAGGGGGCCGCGCGGGGCTTCTCGGAAGCCCCGCCGCCTCGTGATCGTCTGCGCGCAAGAGTGGCCCTTCGCCGGAGTGACCTCTGGCGCGAACTCATCGGGGAGTCCCCCCCCGATCGTTATCGGGGTTGGACAGACCTCCTACCCTGACACGTCGATTGAGGAATTGGCCGTTTCCGGTTCGCGAGAGGGCGTCGCGGCCGTCACTTTTGCGGGTTCGGGTCCGTCGGTTTCGGTTCCAGGCTGTTTTCACTAAGGGGAGGTTTACCAAAGGGAGGTTTGTCCAACGCCGACGTTAGGCGCGGTGCCATAGCGGCTCCTTGCGCGCTGGGATTTGGCCACCCTGCGCCCCCTTTCGTCCGCGCACCAAGCGCCACTCCTGCCCAGGGTCACTCTTGCGTGTAGCCGATGTGAGAATTACCAGCCTGGGAAATATCCCTATCCCTATGCTGGGCACCTCCTCATCACGATGCCAATCTTAGGGATTCCCTTATTTTTTGATGGCGAACCCCTAAGATTGTCATCGCCTTTTGGCGTGTCGATCTTAGGGACAGGGATACGTTCGAGGCTGGTAAGAGAAGGCCTGCCCCCGCCACTTCCCCCCCTTCGCTTGCGCGCCGCCGGTCCACAGCGCGCCGCGGGCAGATGGCGTCGCCTTGCACTCTGAGTTCCCCCTGGGGCATTTGGCACATCTGTGGGGCACCGGGGTTCCCTATGCGACTCCCGTTCCGTCTCTGGCCGACTTCTGACTGGCCGACTGGCCGACTCCCCGATTGGCCGACTGGTCGACTGCGGAGTCGGAAAATTCTTTGCGGTGCCTCAGAAATTGTCCTTCTCCCCTGGGGAGACCGTTGCTCGTCTCAAGTCCGAAGGGCTGCGCGCTTCCTAGGCCAGACATCCAAGCATCGCGAGCAGAGCTCTTGTATGTGTTCCTCTCGCTGGGATCAGGGGACCCTTCCTCGTGTCATGTCGAACAGCAGTATGTTGGCATCACGAACAGTATCACGAACAGCACTATGTTGGCACTTACTTTCCGCAAATTGGACCTCCAGTGCCATCGTCGGGCCCTGGTACGAGCTACAAATGTAAACAGCGTTGTATTGCCCAGCATTTCATACCAGACAACGGCTGAACTTTGTAAAGCAGAGTAATGCATACGGGTGTCTAGCAAAGCCTTCCATATGGTTGCATTGCGATGCCGTCGGGTAGGATGTCATACGTTTGTTTGCTGCCGCATGCCATGGCGCTGCGCAGCGTGGTATGCTATTTCATAGCACCCCAGCTTTTGTACGAAAACGAGATAGTAAGTTGTGGCGCCACACTCGATGTCATAGCATAACCTGGCAACGATGGCCATGTCGCAGCATGGTCAGACATAGCAAAGCAAGCGCATATGATTGCGGCAAAAGGCATGCGTGAAGTCCAAACCATGCAACGCTGAACAAAGGCATCCCCGAAGACCCCGGGCAACGCCCGAGGACCCTTGGGAAATCTTTGAGAAACCTCATCCCCTGACCTTCCAGAGTGCTAAACAATAGCACTCCAGACCTATAGATCGATCTGGCCTGCCTCAAACCGCGACAGGAATCAGCACGTCGACGTCCTGGTGCTATCTTTTAGCCCTCCTGGAAGGTCAGGGTCATGGGTCCCCCTGAAGCCCCGTCGAGGAACCCCAACGGGGCCCTCCCTCCGAGGACCTGGCCGGACGGAGCGCAGCCGCGCGGGCCCTCTTCTGCGCAGGCAGGAGGCGCGCCCTGGGCGGGGCCAGACTGGACTCGGGAGGGGAACAACAACGCACAGACACACACACACACACACACACACACACACTGAATCGTCGATCCCCAGGAGAGTATTGGAAAGTATGGGAAGTGGGGGGGGGGGGGAAGACGAAAATCCAGAAGATGGGGGGAAAGGACGGGGACTCTTGTTGCCTGTGTTTCTCTACTTGCGTGTCCTGCAGGGCCCCTTCACGGACGAAAGTATCACCCGCAGTGGCCACCTCAGGTCCCGGGGTTGGGGTCGGGAGTTCCGGGCCCACGCCGTGCGTTCACAGCCATGCGACGCCGAGGGTCTCGGGGCAGCCGACGGGCTTCTGGGGCCCGCCTCGGAACGGGGGCCAGGACGGGGACGCGTCCGTTCCAGAGCGTTCCGGAGCGCTCTCAGAGCGTTCTGCAGAACGCTCTGGGGGGAGGCCGCGGCGCCCGAGACCATTTGCCAGAGCCGCTGGAGCTCAGAGATGCTCGGCCTCGATCTTCGTCCTGGCTTCGTCTTGCCCTGCCGGTTTCACCACTGGGGCCCCTCCGCGAGGCGGGAGAGGGGCCCCCACTTTCCAGAGTGCTAGAAGTAGCACTCCAGACCTGTAAGCCTATCTGGACTGCCTCAATAACCTCGGCAGGAATTCGGACGTCGACGTCCTGGTGTTATTTTGTTCGGGCCCTCCTGGAAGGTCCGGGGACGAGGGGGGGGGGGGGGCGACATCTGCGGCATGCAGCCGGCTTCGGGCACGCAGCCGTGCGCCTTGCTTCGACGCCTGGTGCGCCCGCGAAGCCGGCTCCGCAGGCTGGCTCGTCCACCCCGTCTCTTGCTGTCCCCCCGGTGTCGCCCGACCCGAGTTCGTGGTCCGACGTTCGGCCCATACTCACCAGTCTCCCCACTTCCCATATTTTCCCGTATTTTTCTGGGGGATCGACGATTACTTGTGTCTGTGTGTTCTTTCCCCTCCTGACATATGCCCGCGGCACGCTGTGGACCGGCGGCGCGCAAGCGAAGGGGGGGAAGTGGCGGGGGCAGGCCTCCTCACATCGGCTGCACGCAAGAGGGACCCTGGGGCAAGAGGGGCGCTGGGTGCGCGGACAAAGGGGGCGCAGGGTGGCCAAACTTACCAGCCTCGAACGTATCCCTATCCCTAAGACTGGCACGCCAAAAAGGCGACGACAATCTCAGGGATTCGCCCTCAAAAAATCAGGGGATCCCTAAGATTGGCGTCGTGATGAGGAGGTGCCCAGCATAGGGATAGGGATATGTTCCAGGCTGGTAACATCCCTCGGCTGCTGCCCCCTACTCTGGCCGCCCTGGGGGGCCAGAGGGCGTGGCCGAGAAGCGTGGCGCCAGGGGGCTGGACTGCTACATCCACGCTACTACCTCCGTGCCCTCGTCTAGGCCCCTGGTGTGCGAGCGGGAGTGTGGACAACCTGCAGGTCGCCCACGCGTCTGACCTCCCAGGACGGCTGACAAAAACAGCACCAGGACATCGACGTCCGGATTGCCGCCGAGGTTATTGAGGCAGCCCAGACAGATCTATAGGTCCGCAGCGCTATTTCTGAGCACTCTGGAAGGTCCGGGGAGTCCCTCCCCCCTCACGGAGGGGCCCCAGTGGTGACCCGGCAGGGCAAGACGAAGCCAGGACGAAGATCGAGGCCGAGGATCTCTGAGATCCAGCGGCTCTGGCAGATGCCTCGGGCGCCGCGGCCTCCCCCCAGAGCGTTCTGCAGAACGCCCGGGGGCCTCTCCCCTCCCTCGCCCGGGGGGCCCCTCCCCCCTCCAGGAGCCGCCCGGGCCCTCCCCCCGCAGTGGGCCCTCCCCGCGCGGGCTCGCGGGCCTGCAGCTCCCCCGTTGCCTGGAGCCCCTCCTCCCCCGCCCTGCCCCGCCCTCCCCCACCCTTCCCCAGATCCCCGCGGGCGCAGGAGGACAAGAGGGAGGGAGGGAGAGGAGGGAAAGGAGAGAGGCCCTCTTCCCCTCCCCCCCCCGCCCCCCTTCCCTGACCGTCCAGAGCGCTCGAAAACAGCGCTGCAGACCTATAGATCTGTTTGGACTGCCTCAAACCTCGGCAGGAATTAGGACGTCGACGTCCTGGTGTTATTTTGGTTAGCCCTCCTGGAAGGTCCTCGGTCCTCCTCCTCCTCCCTCCTCCTCCCTCCTCCTCCTCCTCCTCCTCCTCCTCCTCTTCCTCCTCCTCCTCCTCCCCCTCCTCCTCCTCCTGGCCCCGAGGGTGGGGGCCTGGCACCTGTTCTCATGGTGTCAGCGCCACACACTCCTCGGGGCACGCTGTCAGTGTCAATTGCAGGCGGCGGTTGGGGGCAGATCAACCGGCTTTCGTCGTTCTTGCACCAGCCACGTGGCTTTTTGCCTGTGGCAGCGGCGCGTTAGCTGCGCCCGTGACCTGGAGATGGGTACCAGGCACGGGGAGTGTGCATTTGGTTGAGGGGCGGGGCCATGTGGTCCGTGAGTCCCTTGGGACCTTGTGTCCGTTCACCCTGGGGTAGAAACCCAGTTGCACATGCCATCCGATTCAGCAGGGGTGACGGTCGGGAAGTACTGCGCGGTGACGCGGTGAACCGGCTGTCCCCCTACGCACCACGCCGTCCCGGTCGGGCAGCGAGTCGCTAAGCGACGAGGTATTTGCCTTTCCCCTGACCGTCGGTGCCGGCGCCTACAGGCCCCTTCCTCCTGTCCGGGAGGCCGAGGGTGACGGTTGAGCCTCGCCTGCCGCTCACTTCTTGGATCTATGACGCTCATGACATTCCTCTTCCTCTTCCTCCTCCTCCTCCTCCTCCTCCTCCTCCTCCTCCTCCTCCTCCTCCCCCTCCTCCCCTCCTCCTCCTCCTCCTCCTCCTCCTCCTCCTCCTCCTCCTCCCCCTCCTCCTCCTCCTCCTCCTCCTTCGGGGTGGGCGGACCGCTCTGGGACTCGGGCCGCCCTCTCCGAGGACGCTGCGGGCGCCGGGGGCACCCGCAGCCCCAAACTCGCGCGGCGCTGGGCCGTTCGGCGAGAGCTGTCATGGCTCGAGAGGGTCGGCGGCGAGCGAGGGAGGGAGAGGAGGGAGGCAGTGCCATCCGAGGCACAGGAGGGGCCTCGGCGGGCGCGGGGGCGGCAGGGGGGGGGGAGGAGGAGGAGGAGGAGGAGGAGGGGGGGAGGAGGAGGAGGAGGAGGAGGAGGAGGAGGAGGAGGAGGAGGAGGAGGAGGAGGAGGAGGAGGAGGAGGAGGAGGAAGAGGAGGAGGAGGAGGAGGAGGAGTGACCTTTCGCCGGAGTGACATGTGGTGCGGCCCCCCCCCCCCCCCCCCATCGCTGAGCGCGAAGCGGTAGCAGCTGCTTCCGCGCCCAGGTTTGGCCACCCCGCGTCCCCCGTTTTGCCGCACACCAAAGGTTTCTCAGAAGGCGCGAGGGCTTCGGAGAAGTCCCGCCGCATTCTTGGAAGGCCTTCGCCTTCTCACTTCCCCCTCTCGCTAGCCGCCGATGATGGTTGGAGAGGGGTTCGATCGGCCATCACACGGTCAGTCACCGGACCGCGCGGTCGGGTGTTGCCAGGGGTATCGTCGGCCCAAGGTGTCCCCCAGGAGCTCGCTCCAGGGAGGACCCCACTGCCTCCAGAGCACCTCCCACGAGGCCCAGAGGGCCCCAGGGGTTCCCGAGTGGGGCGCGAGAAGCTGGGGACACTCCATGCTAGGAGTGCCTTCGGCAATCCCCCCGACGTTTGGATCTCGAAGTCCTGCTGAAGACGTCGGAGGCTTGCGACGGCGCCTTCCCGACGCCCAGCTCAGCGATCGTGGCCTCTGGGGGGCCTCTCGGGGAGCCCCCTAGCCCCAGTGCGCTTCTGCGCGTCGGACTTGCGGCAAGTTTGGAGTTCGCCACCGCGTCCGAAGTCGCGCACGCGCGCCTCTTTCTCTTCCCTCCCTGCTTGCTCGATCCTCGAGGGTCGAGCGCAAAACTTAGCGCACATCCCTCTCGCTCCTCCTGCTACTCCTCCCACTCTCTCTACTTTTAACTCTTCCTCGCAGCTCACAGGTGGCGGTTCAGCCCGGAATTACGTGAATGTGTCCA